ATGGGTGAGGCCATACAGATGGGGTTGTCCCAAAGTGCCATCTTTGACAGAAACTCAATTCCAAAAATTGTGTTTCAAAAAATGGAAGCAAACACCTTTGCATTCCCACCCCACCAGGGAATAGAGTTTTCAGGAACACACGAGCAACTAGGTGACATCTTTATCAGCCCTCATAAACCTTGATTGAATACACAGCGATAAGGCCTGTTTAAACTGTCCTCCCCTGCTAACAGAACTGCAGGCCGCACGGCCTTAGCAACCACGGGGAAAGAGGCCCCTCCAGACCCCATGGGCGCCCACTATTCCTGGGGTGGGGGCGGTGGGGTGGGCGGCTGGGTGCAGGTTACTCCTCTTGCTTTTCCGGAGGCCTCTCTTTAGAACCAGCCTGGGTCCCTGTGGGTGAGGAAGTGACTGGAGGGGAGAGAGTTCATTAAACTCTGGTGACCTTTAGCATTTACATCTGCAAACACAGAACTCCCGAGGGGCCCTGATGTTAAGGACGCAGGCCGGCCAGCTCTGGTTTTCTTTCTACCGGCAGCAAAACGGAGGGGAGGGTCCAGACATCTGAAAGACAAGGGAGACGCGGGGTTTTTCCAATAAGCTCAGGTCTGATGTCGCCGGGCCGGTCCAGATTTCGCTCCAGCACACCCCGGGGCACCATCCATTCCAATCGGCGCTCCCTGCTTCCAAATCCCCGTCCCTTACCTTCCAATCTCGCCAAACCAAAGTGCACAGCGACCCCCACAGGCGGCGGCGGCCGCTGCCCCAGTGAGAAGCACCTCTGTGCACCTAGGACCTTGGGTCTCAGCCGCCACACCCAGGGAGGACCCTGGGTCTGGGGAGACAGTGAGAGAGATTAATTCGCAGCCCTTGGGTCCTGGACTTTTTCCCGGGTCTCAGTTTCGTCAACTGAAAAAAGACCCCGTTGCAGTCGAAGGATCTTTCAGATGTCTTTCAGGTCTAAAATTTGATGACCTTTTAAAAAGGAAACTATGTGAGGCGATGGATATTCCATATAAATCAGCTTTACTATATTAACTATTCAACCACGCATGCGTATATCAAAACATCATGTTGTCCACTTATGTACAACTTTGAAAATTTAAATTAAGTCAAGTGACTCCATTGGAAAGCTCCCTGTCCCCCAAGACCCCCCCAATTTTTGGATAAAATTTAATTACCCAAATGGATTCTCTTACAGGTCAGGTACACAGTGGGTCATTTCCTACATCAATAGAATGTACATGGTTCTCATGGTAACCTCTGACACGGGGATGACAATAAAATTCCCCTCTTCTCCCCGCTCCTGCCCCCTGTTGGATGTGCCAGTGAGGGCAAAGTCAGAGCCCTAAAAATGCCTTCTGAGAGGTCAGCGACCTAGAGTTTGGCAGAGCAGCAGTGGAAGAAGGCTTTACAGCTGGGAATTTCCACTGTTCCCTGGAAAACACCTGGCCCCTGTGACGTTCCGGGACTTGGACCTTCTGATGAGTTTGCAAAAGAACTCACGCTCTTCCGACCCAGGAGGTAAAGAGGAAGCAAGGTCAGCTCTAGGGAAGCTAGGATTTAGGATGACCTGACTTTTGAGTTACATCCAGCACACGCTGTATACGAGCAATTTCCCTTGAATAATCACATGGCATTTTATATTTGCAGAGTGTTTTTCCATCACTGTACCATAAGTCTACATCTCTACAACAACCCTAGGGTTCATATTATTTGCAATTTTTTTTTTATATAGAGAAGGAATTTTTATGGGACCAATCTCGCAGCACAGCAGGGTAAGCTGCTACCCATGATATCGGCACCCCATACAGGCCCACTTAGAGTCCCGGCTGCTCCACTTCCAAACCAGCTCCCTGCTAATGTGCCTGGGAAAGCAGCGGAAGATGGCTCAAGTGAATGCACCCACATGGGAGACCTGGATGGAGTTTCCTGGCTCCTGGCTTTAGCCTGGCCCAGCCCTGACCATTGTAGCTGTTTGGGGAGTGAACCATCAGATGGAAGACCTTTCTCTCTCTTTCTCTGTAACTCTGCCTTTCAAATAAATAAAATAGATCTTAAAATGAATAAATAAATAAAATATCCCATAGGATGATTGGGAGAACTAAATGAGTCAATATATGTCAAATGCCCGGCACAGAGGAAGCACCATGTAGGTGTTACTGTAATCAAGAATCGCCTGTTTCTGAAGCCATTTCTTTCTCTCTCTCTCTTTTTTTTCTTTTTTAGATGTATTTTGAAAGAGTTACACACACACACACACACACACAGTGAGAGAGAGAGAGAGAGAGAGAGAGGGAGGGAGAGAGAGGTCTTGCATCCATTGGCTCACTCCCTAGATGGCTGCAATGGCCAGCACTAGGCCAGCTCAATACCAGGAGCCAGGAGCTTCATCCGGGTTTCCACGTGTGGAGCAGCGGCTTAAGCACTTGGGCCATCTTCCACTGCTTTTCCCAGGCAGGGAGCTGGATCCGAAGCAGAGCAAATGGGACTCAAAACAGCACTCACATGGGATGGTGGTGCTACAGGTATCTGCTTATCCTTCTGTGCCACATCACGGGGCATGCCTCCCCAACATGAGTATTTAAAAAACAACAGTGCTTAGGAACCCTGCTCACACACTGAAATCACATGGAGAGGAGGGTGGGCCTTGTAGCACAGTGGGTTAAGCTACTGCTTGGGAAACCCACATCCCACGTCTGAGTGCCTAGTTTGAGTCCCAACTACTCTGTGCTTCTGATCCAGCTGTTACTGCACCCGGAAAGCAGCAGATGAGGGCCCAAGGACTTGGGCTTCTGTCACCCATGTGGAAGACCTGGTTGGAGATCCTGCCTTCTGGCTTTGGCCTGGCCCAGCCCCAGCTATTATAGCCATGTGGAGAGTGAACCAACAGATGGAAGCTTCTCTCTATGTGTCACCCTGTCATTCAAATAAATAAATAAATATTTTTTTAAAAAAAATGAAAAACATCAAAAGTAGGGATTCTACCTCTTACCAAGCAAATGAGATTTTCTAGGGGTAAATGACATGGAAAATTGATTTGTGAGCTAGCAAGTGCCATGGTGAATGAGCTGTGAGTCTTTTGCAATGCTCAGCTATAGAATAGCAGTCAAGATTTTTTGGAGTGTTTATATGTGCCAGATAGTGTACCAAGAGCTCCATGAATTGCTTGGGTCTTAGACAGCTTCAGAGAGAAAGAACTTGAGTTGGGACTTTGTAAAATGGTGGGATTTGAGCGGAAGAAGCAGCACCTTCCAGGACACAGAGGAGGGCAATGCCAGAGCTGGAGGTGGAGTCTGCAGTTTGGGTTGGGGACAAAGAGAAGACAGAATAAATTTACTTTTTTAAAAAAGAGAGATCTACTTATTTGACAGGCAGAATGACAGAAACCTTCCATCAACTTGTTCACCCCGTAAAAGCCTGCAACAGGGGCCGGCACTGTGGCTTAGTAGATCAAGCCGCCTGCAGTGCCAGCATCCCATATGGACGTGGATGTGAGTCCCAGCCGCTCCACTTCCCATCCAGCTCTCTGCTATGGCCTGAGAAAGCAGTAGAGGGTGGCCCAGGTCCTTGGGCCCCTGCACCTGCATAGGAGACCCAGAAGAAGCTCCCGGCTCCTGGCTTCGGATCGGCACAGCTTCAATCATTGCAGCCATCTGGGGAGTGAACAAGTGGATGGAAGATCCCTCTATCTCTACCTCTTTCTATAATGCTTTCTTTCAAGCAAATAAATACATCTTAAAATAAATAAATAAATAAAAGGCTGCAACAGCCAGGCCTGGACCAGACCAAAGCCGGGAGCCTAGAACTTCGTCTAGGTCTCCCACATGGATGGCAGGGCCGAAGCACTTGGGCCGTTATCCACTGGCTTCCGTGCTGCATTAGCAGGGACCTGCATGGGAAGCCAGCAGCCAGATCTCGACCCAGCGCTCAAAGGGGATGCCGGCACTGCAGGGGTGGCGTACCCCGCCACAATGTAGGCCCCATAACCTACCTTCAAAAGTCGAGCAAATGGTTTTTATTTTGTGCGTGGTTCACATGTCCTCTGCAGCTGGTAGGTATTGCTGAAAGAGTACATTCACCGGAAAAGGGGGCCATAGTTATCCTAAACAGTGAAATGTATGACAGCCTAAGCATAAATAAGCAAAGCAACCCAGCACTCGCTTGGCGGGGCTCTGTGTAACAGACTGCATTCACAGCCCGAGCACAAGGCAACTCCATGGAAAATAAAACAAGCGGAGATCTGTGCAAATTCCTTCCACTTCGCCCTTCCTATCTCCTGACCTCTGGCTGAGTTCGCAGCCGGTTCTCAGGGGCCGGCCTGGAAGCAGGACTTTGGAATCTTAAATTTGACTTTTGGATAAACAAGCATAAAAGCACAACAATGGGGGGGGGTGGATAATGAGACAGAGAAACAGAAAGAGGAACACAGAAAGAGATTAGATTTGGAATTACAGAAATAAAGTAGAAACGTGGCGTCACGCGACACAGACTCTAAGGGACGTGATAGGAACTGGGTGTTTGCTAGACATGAAACAACTGTGGGAAAGCCAAGATTACGGGGGCAGGAAATAAAACCATCATGTCACACCGTAGGATTTCTCTTTCTTTTTGAAAGATAAGAGCTGTTCCTCAAGCCTTATTCCAGGGAACCACAGCTCCCTCTACACCTCCCCTCCCTCCCCTCATTGCACAGGTAGGAGCGTCTTTTCTTTTTTTCTTCTGGATTTTTCTGTCTTCTCGCCTGCATTAACACTCTCAGGGCAACCCTCCAATAGCGAAGCCGCGCGTTGCCTCCCGCGTGCAGCCTGAAGCGGGAACTTGAACCACTCACACAGGAAGGCCATCACCCGTGTCCCCTCACTTGCTGCTCCCTGCAACCTTGTTGAGGCTCCAGCAGGCTAAGCGGGGCACCCCAAGTCCCCAGTTCTGAACCCCATGACTTTCCACCGCGGGATTTTATTCTGCTTCTTGACCAGCTGTTTCATTCTCCTACTCACCTTGGGGTGATCGGGACACAGACAGAAGCCACATTTCAGAAAGCGCGTTCGCTTTCACTCCGCGTGTGACGTGTCCAACGGCAGGAAATGCCCCACGTTCTGTGCTGTTCTGTGCGCGCACCCAGCGTGGGCACGCTGGCTCGCTCGCCGGTCTGCCGAGGTGCCCCTGGCCTCTCCCTGCCCCGCGACGAATTGTCCCAGAGGTGCGAGGGACTGACTTCAGGAGCCAAAGGACAGAAGCCGGGCGAGTTGAGTGAGCCTGCAAGATCGACACAAAGTGAACTCGGAGGGCGATCAAGGGTCGGGCCGAGGCTCGAGACACTCCAGACCCGTGTGCGCGCTGGAATTCCCGCCGGGACCCTCAGCCGCCCCGCCGGGTTTGCAGCCTGGAACGTCTTACAGATTTCAGCACTGGCCTCTGACAGCCCTGACACGTCTGAACTGAGGCTAACCTCAGCCAGCTACGTTCAGCCTGATGAGTTATACTGTACCTGTCAGAGCCTCTCTCCACTCTCTCCTGGGTCGCCACAGGGGAACCAAAGTCATTTGACTGGCATGATCTCTTCTGTATATTGCAATGACGGGCAGGGTCTCCCAAACCCTAATTCATAACAGAAAGAAAATATGGTGCAGGGGGAAACGCATCACCTCAGTTCCCTCTGACTCTGAGTCGTTTGTCTGCAGGTTTTGGAATTTCTGAGGTTAGAGCTGAGTAGGAGAGAGGAGACGCGACACCCACGTGCTCAAGAGATGAGACGTGACAATTGACCCCGCTCAGAATTTGACAGGATCTCTCTGAGTTTCCGCCTGCCCTCCCCCCGCGAAATCACTTCCCTGTGCCCTGCCCCCCGCCTCCCCCCAGTACAGCCCTGAGTCTGTCCCTGGAGGAGGAACCTCAGGGGCTCACAGGGGAGCTCAGAAGTCAGTGGAGGAAAGGCCAAGCCCATTCCCCTTCTCAACTGTCCCCAGGCCCGTGGGTGACATTTTACTCAAAGATGCAAGTGGTTAGGGAGATCTTGTCAGACACTACAGCATTCATTTATGAGTTGCATCCCAAAGACACACATCAGGAAAAACCTGAAAGCAAGCAGTCTCTACCCTCCACTATTTGCTGTTGTTTCAAGACCTCGGAAAGGGGGCAGGCGTTCGGTGCAGGCGTTAAGCTGCAGCCTGGGACCCTCAGAGCCCCATCAGAGTGCCTGCTTCACCCCCCGACTCCTCTGTACCCGTCCAGCACACCTGGGAGGCAGCAGCTGACAGCTCACATACCTGGGTCCCTGTCACCCCTGTAAGGGACCCGGCTCCTGGCTTTGGCCTGGCCCAGCCTTGACGGTTGGGTGCATTTGGATGAACCAACAGAAAGAAGATCCATCTCTCCCTCTATCACTCTCTCTCTTTCCCCCCACCCTATCCCACTTTCAAATAAAATGAAATTAAAAAAAATAGACCTCAAAAATGTACTTTTTATTTTTTTGTCACAGTTCTTTACTTACAGAAAAGAGGCAATCCTATGCACCTGTCAAGACTATTGAAACCGGAAGTCACTTTACAGTACCGTTGTCAGAACTGTATAAATGTCAAATCACAAATGACATGGCAAATGATTTATCCTCAGCAAATAGCATTACCCCGGCTAGGCAAATATAATTACAAAAAGAAGCTTCTAAAGAGTGCCTCCAGGCTAGGTCAGCAAATACGTGTTGATGAGGATACAGGAGTACCCCTGCCTTCCAGAAGCTTCAACTCAAGAAACTTTTTTTTTTTAAAGATTCATTTTATTTATTTGAAAGGCAGGGTTACATATATAGAGGCAGAGAGAGATATCTTCTACCTATTGGTTCACTCGCCAAATGGCTGCAATGGCCAGGGCTGGGCCAGGCTGAAGCCAGGAGCCAGGAGCTTCTTCTGGGTCTCCCAGGTAGGTGCAGGGGCCCAAGCATGCAGGCCGTCCTCTACTGCTTCCCCAGGCACATTAGCAGGAAGCAGGATTGGAAATGGAGCAGCCAGGTCATGAGCCGGTGCCCATATGAGATGCCGGTGCCGCAGGCAGCTGCTTTACCTGTTACGCCACAGCGCCGGCACCTGAGACTCCACTCCCATAGTGGATTCTTACAGGAACATATTCTCGTTTGAAATTTTAAACAAAAAAGCTCTTTAAAGCACTCCCTCTTGCCCCCACCACCCTCACTCCCATCATGCAGACCTCCAGCCTTGTTGCCTTTGCAGATTTGACTCCTGTTAGCTCTTGGTGTGTGTTCGACTGGCCCCTATTCTGGACACTTACTTACATGTGTGTATATAGTATCTGACTTTTAGGTATACAGTTTCTTACTTAAGGATTAAGATATTTAACCTGGAGCACTTAAACATTCATTTGAACCTCTGCATAAGAATGTAATCCCTGCAACTGGCTCGCCCCCTTTACACAGTAGACGGGAACCCCAGGGCCAGTCTACGGCTACCTCCCAATCACCCGGGAATGGCTGTTCCACCCGGCAGCTGCTCAGCCCTTTCTGCTTTTCCGGCTCTATCTGGGTACCCGCATTTTGACCATTTCACCTCTCACCCACAAAGTCAACTGCTAAGACTAGAATGACCCCAAGTATTAGCGCCATTCCCTACTAGCCCCTCGCGGCCGTGTTCAAAAGCAGAGACTTGGCTAACAGTGTTGTCTCTGATTGTCTAAAAGAAGGTTTGAGTTTATGTGCAAATTCCACTTGCACTCCACGGCACCCTTCCTCCACTGCCCACAAACACACAGACAATCACGGTTTGGCTGCAGCCGAGATTTATAGGGGAACATGGCTGGATTTCCCTCTCTGTCCTGGGCTGCTAATGTCCAGTTGGCTGATGTTCAGGGCAGGGTGCCAGGCCTGGATTTTGGGGAAGGATCATCCAGAGAGATGGGGCGGATGTGATTTGGCGGCTGTGTGAGATCTGGCACGGGATTTTACGTGCCGTGGTGTTATGTTTCTTAAACTCAGTACATGCACTTAGAAAGCTGTTTATCATCATCACAGAACGTCCAGGCAGCACCTACTTGGCACCAGAAGCCTTCTGAATGTCTTTTTAGAATAATATTTGAGTGAGAGGCCCAGGAAATGCATAACAGAATGGCACTGCATGGTACTAAGACGTTATGCTGATACTGGCAGTTCACGGGAAATTAGGACACTTTCCTGTTTCTGATGATCCAAAAGAATTCTGGAAAGACATCCCATTTTATCATTGTTTTCTCTTAGCCAGTGAAAACAATAGCAAGCACATAGTTTGAAATGAAACAATATTTGGGGGCTAATAAAGATGAAGAAGGAAAAAGAAATGAAAGCTTCTCTTTGTCGCTCTTTTCCCCTTTGCCTTGCCTTTCTCGCTCTTTTGAACAAAAGGGACTTGCCTGCTGCCTGCAGGTCTTTTCCGGAATCTTTCCCACAGCCAGCGGGGGTCTCTGGTCTGTGATGGTGGACTCTGTTTCGGGAAGAGATGCCGCCGCCTGGTGAGACTCCTGCCTTCGGCTCACCAAGTGCAGCATTAATCTGCTGTCATCAGAGCCGATGCCCACGCGTCACTCAAGAGAACAGTGCGATCCCAGAGGTGTTTTTTCCAGGGTCCTCAGCTTTGCGGGAAGAAATCCGCAAGAGCACGCGTGGCCCATTGTCCCTCAAGATTGTCAAGTAGCTTACAAGGTTCAGGGTTCAGCACCGCAACCAATGGTTCAGCGGACTCGATCGTGGACACTCCCTTCCTGACAGTGTATCTCCTCCCGCGGGAAAACAGAGGGGAGGGCTGGGGAAGGGGCGCGAAGGCCCCTCCGGTACCGGACGGAGCGGGCCAGGGCCCAGGGCTGCCAGCGGGCTTCCCCTGGCTGGCCTGTGTCGCCAGCAACAAGGTTATGAGAAGGTCAGGAGGGGGACGCATGCAGTGCCAGGGACCCGTCGCAGTACACGGCGTCCCGTCCTCAGACACAGTGCGGCCAGTTCGCAGCAGCTGGCTTGGGGGACACAAAGCAGACACCACAATGCCAAGGTGGTTTTTTTGTTTTTGGTAAGATGACAAGTGAGTTTGTAACATTTTATCCAACTGATAACTCTATTTTCCCTCTTTCTCACTGGTACCTGTTACTAAGAAAATAATTTCTTTTACTAAAAATTATAATAATAAGAGATTCGGCCTAGCCACTGGGATGCCAGCCATCCCACAGGAGGATGCCTGGGTTTCCTTCCCGACGCTGGCTGCCGACTCCAGCTTCCTGCTAATGCGGACTCCGAGGCCGCCTCACGGCCCGAAGCAATACCCGGGCTCCTGTCGCTCACCGGAGAGACCTGCATTGTGTTCCCAGCTCCCAGCCTTGCCTGGCCCCGTCCAGCCTCAGCTCTCACGTGTATTTGGGGAATGAATCAGCAGAGTGGAGCGCACCCGCTCTCTTTCTCCCTCCGTTAAAAAAATGTTTCAATGGGTAAAAAAAAGCAATCCCAACCAGCGTCTCTCGTCTCTCGCATTGCTGTGTGAGGACTCACAGCGGCGCTGGGTAAACCCTTACCACAGCGGCTGGCCAGCATCGGCCATCAGGTGATGCGAGTTAATCCTTGCTGCATTGGCAACAACTTGCATTTATGCTTCCTTTAGTTTATGAAGGGAATTTCAGACATCTCAGGTTTTTTTTTTTTCCTTAATCCAATCTTTCAACGCACATTTAATGAATGCCTGGTCTGATGTGCCAGACATTGTTCTGAGCACTGAGAATACAATAGAGAACAAGAGAGACAAATCCCCTGTCCACATAGAATTTATGTTCTAGTCGGGGACGAGAAAGAGCAAACTAGAAAATAAGGCGGGGGAGCAGCTGGGAGTAGGTAGGGATGGGACTGGCTGTTATTGTGTGTGCAGTCCTTGGACAAGGCCTCGCCGGGGAGAGACACTGCAGCAGGCGCCTAAAAGAAATGAAGTGTCCATCAAAGGGCATCCCAGGGTACGGGACAGCATATGCAAAGGCCCTGGGGTAGGAAAGTGCTTGGCATGTTCAAGAGAGAAAGGAGGAACCAGGCAGGGAGTGGTGAGGGACTGGGGAGACAGGCTTGATGTGTAGGGCATGCAAAGATTTGTTTGTTTTTTTCCTCTGAATCGCAAAGTCTGGTAGAGGGGAGGAGTCCTGGGCAGAGGAGAGGTGCAGACTGATTCACATGCTAGAACAGGTCACTGTCCAACTCGAGGGGAGAGTGAGCAGTGGGGGCAATGAGACAGATCTTCCTGGTAGAGTCCGTGGGGTTGCTGATGGGTTGGATTTAGGGAAGGGAAGAAAGGATGGGGCCTGGGCACGAGAAGGGCAGGGCTGCCTGTGAGTGAGATGGAGACCGCTACTCAAAACCGCCTTCTCAGTTCAACTAACGTGCCCATCTCACAGATGAGGAAGCTGAGACCAAGCGAGGTTGCCCCGCTAGCC